TAGGTGTGGGGACCCAGCCCTCAGTGTCTCTCCACTCCAATGAAGGGGGTCAGACCCAGCTGGTGTGCAGGTCAGAAGGTTGGTTCCGTAAACCTGCAGTGAACTGGACAGACAAGGATGGACAGGACGTGACATCACTGTCCAGCACCACAGCAGAGAGGGACAGACAGGGGCTCCTCAGTGTCAGCAGCTACATCCCAGTCAAACAGGAGTCCAACATCTTCTCCTGCCTGGTGAGAAGCACAGTACCGCAGCTCGACTTGGGGTCTGAGCTACACATACCCAGTAAGTTGTAAATGTATTTTAATTCCATTTCTTTGATAATACAGTAACAAGCTTGGCACTAGCACAGTGCCACAGAGCTTCAATGCCTGCATAAGTCAAGCACTACTTTTGATTTTAATTATAATGATGCTGTATATACAGTATGTGAGCACAGCCAGTGCTCTGAGCTCAGTATTTAAGGTTTATATATTTTCTTAAATCTCCATGTAGCACAACTGCTGTTAGGTGTTGCCTTTTAGGGAATGCAGTAATTTGATTTCTTAAGTATATTGACAAGGCTTGTAGCATTTATTACAACATAGAGTAGTTTGACCAGCTTTCCTAAAATGCCCTGGTAATATACAGTAATGAATTCAAGTTATTTTGCTATGTTGTCTGCAGGAGATTTTTCCCCAGGACCTTCTGGGTGGATGGAGGCTCTCATCTTGACTCTCTTTCTCAGTGCTGGGGCAGCTGCTCTGCTGATCATCAACTGGAGAAAACTGCATGGTACACATTTTTTCCACATGCATTGACCAGGGAATAGGGCCCTATTCCACTAGAGTGTGATCATTGCATGCTGTTTCATACAGAACAAAATCATATCAAGCATGAATTCAAATGTATCCAAGCATGTGCCTGGGACAGTTCCTGTTCTTCACTGGGACCATCATTAACTAGATTATCTGCTTCTGTGCCTTAGTCCCCAGATTGAAACACACACTCTCGCCATTGTGAAAGTGGGTCATAGGTATAAAGTTCCCCTTGTTGTCAACAGCTGTGTTTTTAAGCAGAATGAGTTTCATTTTCATTTTCATTTTTCCACGAAGCAGCTCATTATTAAGAAAGCTCAGCTAATGCATCTGTCTGCCTCCACATTATTTCATTTGATCTGCATCCATGATCCCATCATGGGAAATGCATTAGAATCTCCACGGCGACCGGCAGAATCTCGGCTTGACCTGTTGGTGTGACTACGAGCTCTAGAAGGAGATCTGTTCCATCAGTAATCAATAATCAACACAGCTTGATCATATTGAACCTTATCCTTTTCCACAAAGAACTGGTAAAAGACTCCAGCAGGACATTCAGTGATTCTACACTGGAGTCAAAACCAATCACAGTCTTAACAGACACTGACTAAAGGTGAAACTGTAAATTCTGTTTCTTATTCACAGACTTCCCTTTGCTCCACAGAGAACTTGGTAAGTGCTTTGTGTTCCTTTCATTTAAGTGGGAAACTATCAAAAATCATCTTAATGTAACCATCTGAAGACCAGAATCATAGACACACCTTGTGACATTTCCATTCTTGAACAGTGGCAGTGATGGATCACTTCTATCTACTGTATGTAGGACAGCTTACGTTCGACTAGTTTTTAGACTGCTGACCACATTTCTGCAAATAATTTTGAGTTTTTTCTAGTAATTTATAAGAATCAAACGGTTGTTTCTATCCTGACATGATCAGATGATACATACAGTATTTGCAGCACCTATTGAAAAATATTTTTCCCCCTTTCTTTCCAGATATAGTGAGACGTTGCTGTAAATCAGGTATGTACATCATGTAAGAAAATGCATTCTGTTTTTTTAAGCATATATGTGTATTAACAAATCGTTTGTGTCTGTGTTTCAGAATGGGAGTGGGTTTGCAGGTCTGCTGGTAAGCAAGAACAGTTTTACAAAGTTATGAATATTTCAGATTTCTTCCATTTCTATTTTTTTCATGCAGTTGTTAGAAAAAGTGTGTAATCCCCTAGGAATAATATGTATTTCTTGATTAATTGTTCCTAAAGTGTGATCTGACCTTCAATTAAGTCAACTAACCCAATCTGATTAATCAAGTAATACATAAACAATTGTACTTTTTCATGTCCATATTGAACACATTGTTTAAACATTCACTGTCTATGCTGGAAAAAGGATGTGAACCTCTAGGATAATGACCTTGGATAGGATAGTAACCTGTATTGTCTACATAGAATATA